AATACAAAATGAATATGTTTCATATATTGAAATCAAATTGGGATAAAATATTTGTTCCCTTTCGAAAGTGAACTCGCACTGCGTCAAATGTCGCTTTGGGGAACGCCTCAGGCGTGACAGGTGTCTGAAATCACAATCAAATCACATTGACCGGCAACAGCCCATGAATCATTAATGTGAATGAAAAACATGCGACCTGGAAGAATAAAAGGGCGCTTTGCAAACATGACAATATTTTTTTTTGTCTTCAGGGACTGTTTTGTCTGTAACCGCTTCGAAAATCAGGTTTCAGAAGTGTGCAGACCCGTACTCAAGATATCTGAAGCCGGGTGACACACACACAAACTGTGCATTTTTCTGACTGGGAAGGAAGAGCGCACACAGGCAGTTCTCGAGGGAACATGTTACCCATTGAGCATGTTTGGGCCATTGATCCTAAACTATAGGTGCCTAAACTTCAAGGTTCGATGTTTTAAAATCCATACTTTATGATGCTATCTCTCTTTGATCCATGTCTCAAAATATTCATATTAATATTAATGTTGAGGCTTGTAATGTGAGCATGCTGTGATATAGTTCTGTTAATATCAAAAGCATGATATTTGTGCTAATATATACTGTATTTACACACACTACGGTTGGGGTCATTAAGATTTTTGTAAAACAAAATTTAATATTGTTCAAAAAATGCTTTCTTTTTTTGCTGAATATATTTGATCAAAATAAAGTAAAAACAGGAATACTGAAATATTATTACAATAAAACTGGTACATACTTTAATTGTAATTGATGGCAAAGCTGAATTTTCAGCATCATTAATCAGTATTAATATTAATATCTTAATATTTGTGTGGAAACAAAAACAAAATCAGGATACTTTGATGAATAAAAAAGTTCATAAAAAGTAATATATTAGAATTTATTATTTATAATACATTTATTCATTTATTAGAAACAGAATCTTAATTGTTACATTATAAATGTATGTCTCTTTTGATTAATTTAATGTGTCCCTCATTGCTGAATGAAAATATTAATTTCTTTAAAAGAAATAAATCAGATCTTACTGACCCCAAAGTTTTGCCCAAACAATGCTTAATTTACTTAAGTTTAATTCTGTTTCTATTACGATTCATTCCCTTCCAAACATATATTCCTATGCTGTACTATCTACCTCTACCACAAACTTTAAAGAAATCAAACACCAATATCTGTCAAATCTAAGTATATCCTGTGTTTTAAAAGCCCTGCTGAAATTTTAATATACCAGCAACCGAAGAGTCGCCCCTCCAAAAGGCTTATGAACCAATATGGACTAATAATAATAATAATAAAAAATATCCAAAAAGCTCTTAAAAATTCTTAAAGGTCAATAAAGAGAGATATACAAATAATTATAATAAATTAAGTAAAAAGCCGTAATCTTGGGGTTCAAAATTCCTCCTGCTGTCAGCTCTCTTATTATTATTCTTTGTTCTTCTCCTTCTTGTGTCCTTGTCATATTCATTCAACTCAAAACTCTGTTTGTGGAATCTCAGGTCCTTTAAAACAACTTTCAACATCTCCAACTAAATTTTTGATTAGAAAAAAAAGACAATTCTCCAAATGGTGGATTTGACTGACAGCTGTGAACTTCCTATCCCCTACAACACTACAGAAAAACTAATGACTAAAAGAGATGATGGATGTGGAACACTTTCCTTAACCTTTTGTTCCTCTAGTTTTACAATCATTCTTAAACGAAATTTAGCAAGGTCTTCTACAAAGTACTTTTTTTGTCACAGCACTTTAAAAAGTATCTGGTTGTTTAAACAAAGGTATGAAAAAAATCCAACTTTAATTAGGAGCTTAAACAACTCTCTCCTTCAGTCCCAGTGGACAGACCAAATGAATATCCTTTAAAAACCAAACGACAGAATGTGCCACACAACACAAGCGGTTGTTTCGGCAGCATATTGACAGTAAGGAGAAATGAGATGGCTGAAAATGTGAAAGGTGAATCAGAGGGTCAATGTGTTTAATTTAAAAAGCACATACACTTCACAAAAAAGTCAATATTTTGTCCCAGAGAGCCGATCTGAATGAGAACAACATGAAAAATATTACCATTTCACTTCACAATTTTAATCACATCACAGAATCACAGAAGATAACATAAAATAGGCCTATATATATATATATATATATATATATATATATATATATTCAAAAGACAATCTCCTGAACTCCAAACTGAATGTCAGAATGGGAAAGAAAGGTGATTTAAGCAATTTTGAGCGTGGCATGGTTGTTGGCGCCAGACGGCCCGGTCTGAGTATTTCACAATCTGCTCAGTTACTGGGATTTTCACGCACAACCATTTGCTAGAGGTCAGAGGAGAATGGGCCGACTGATTCAAGCTGATAGAAGAGTAACTTTGACTCAAATAACCACTCGTTACAACTGAGGTATGCAGCAAAGCGTTTGTGAAGCCACAACACGCACAACCTTGAGGCAGATGGGCTACACCAGCAGAAGACCCCACCAGGTACTACTCATGTCCACTACAAATAGGAAAAAGAGGCTACAATTTGCAAGAGCTCACAAAAATTGGAGTTGAAGACTGGAAAAATGTTGCCTGGTCTGATGAGTCTCGATTTCTGTTGAGCCAGAATTTGGCGTAAACAGAATGAGAACATGGATCCATCATGCCTTGTTACCACTGTGCAGGCTGGTGGTGGTATAATGGGGTGGGGGATGTTTTCTTGGCACACTTTAGGCCGCTTAGTGCCAGTTGGGCATTGTTTAAATGCTACGGCCTACCTGAGCATTGTTTCTGGCAATGTGCTTGAATCATTTCAATTTGGTTTCTGAAGGCGAAAGGGGGTCAAATTTCATTTCAATCTGAAGGCGAAAGGGGGTCAAACACAGTATTACTATGGTGTTCCTAATAATCCTTTAGGTGAGTGTATGTATATACAGTGTGTATACATACATATATATATATTAGGGCTGTCAAATGATTAATCACGATTAATCACATCCAAAATAAAAGTTTGTGTTTACACAATCTATGTGGGTGCACTGTGTATAATTATTTATATATATAAATACACACACATGCATGTATATATTTAAGAAATATTTTCATGTATATACTGTATATGGATTTTAATAGAATTTATATTATATATAAATATACATATTTATATATAATAATGTTTTTTTCTTAAATAATATACATGCATGTGTGTGTATTTATATATACAAAGTAATTATACACAGTGCACCCACATATATATTGTAAACAAAAACTTTTATTTTGGATGTGATTAATCGTGATTAATCATTTGACAGCCCTAATATATATATATATATATATATATATACACAGAGTATATATATATATATATATATATATATATATGATCTATCGTAGGGGTGGGCGATATAGCCTAAAAATTATATCACGATATTTCAAGAATATTTGCGATAATGATATTTATCACGATATAGAAAAAATATATATGAAACAATGTTTTATTGGTGATTGCAGCTGGCTGGCAGCAGCATTAATGCAAAAAAAAAGTATAACATAACTCCTTATCATTTTATTTTAACAATAACTACAGTAATACATTAACAATATTAACAATAACTTCAGAAGCCTGCACAATATTGTCACCTAATAAAATTTACCTAAACTTTGAAGTACAAAAAATTTAAACAAACAGCGGCAATCCAAACAAACCTTCAAAATGTAACAGTTGCCTTGCATAGTTTTTTGATTAGCATCAAATGAGGTATACAATACCTAATTTATACAATAATTGTATAAAATCGGAACATTTAGGGAAAAAAAACATTTAGTGGGGAATAAATAAGAGACAATTGTAACACTAAATCTGGTAAAACTTTACACATTGCTCTTTGTATTGTACATTCATGAAAAAAAAAACAAGGTAACAAATCAAAAGGATTAATTATTATATAGCATAGTCTACTATAAAATTGAGGCATGTTTAAAATGAATAGCACAGCTGTTTAATGAGGCAGCAACATATGATCGATAGGACAGAACAAAGGCTATTAATAATCTTTCATTGCGCAAAAGTATTATGATATGAAAGGCTCCAATATATCGCACAGCGCTTATGCGCATCCCGAGCGCTGAATGATGCGCTTGAAGCAACACGGAGTCACAGCGCGCACGCGCAGCGCGTCGAATACTCCGCACTGAACAGTTCAAAGCACAAAGTAAATAAATATTGATGCGTAGCGTCGTGTATAATATACAGCATCTAGCTATGCAATCGTTTATCGAGTCCTTTCTTTTAACAGTTTTACATTTCAGTTACTGTGGGCGTGATGAACAATAGTGCTCTGACTCTAGTGTTTTGCTCTAACAGACACCCGGCCGGTAGAAAGTAACATGATGATTTAGTTAACGTTACAGCAATAAAGTCCAGCAAGATAAAGTTGTTTTATGCGAAAGCATAGAACTTTTATTTACAAATATAATAATAGTAACATTGAATCATCTTAGAAAGAGTTTAATCGTGTTGACTGTTGTACCCGAACTGCGGAAACTCTGAAGGAAGATTAGGCGAATGCAAAATGTACGCTAGTAGGGAAGTGGTGAAACGAGTTTTCATGCATATTTGACCAAAAAAAAAAATAATAATAATAATTGTGTTGTTGGAGATCTGACCTCTTGTACTCAAACAACTTCCATACTATTGAAGTAGCGCCCTTTTTAGGAACTAAATCTTGATCTGATCCGGAGGCTGACATGCTGCTGTGTTCTTGTGCACGCGCTAAGTAACGTAAATACGCCATACGTCATCATATCATCAATATCGCGATATGACAATTTTTTATCATGTAAAATTTTATACCGGTATTATCGTGGACGGTATGATATGGCACAGCCCTATCGTTAATGATCTATCAATTACAAATTACCATATATGACAACATTACATATTACATAACCATATATACATACTGCAAAAACTTACTTGCTATACTCAGGTAAATGGAAGGACTGGTTTTGTTTTCTCCATTGCGTTCATTAACAGCCTGTACGTAATACCGTCCTGCGTCTGCTGCTGTCGTACCCAACACCACGAGCTGATTGTCCAATGTTATAGCTCTGAAACCAAAAGAGAAACAAACAAAACACATGTAAGAAGGGTGAACAAGATTGCCCACTTGCGTTTTCATTTCCTTTCTAATCAGGGTAACCTATACCAAATCAATTTGCTTATTTGTAAAACTGAGCCAAGTGAAGTACTAATGAAAGCACATGAGTGTTTTATTATTTTCGCTCTGGATGGCCTCATCGGCGAGAGGGCAACGTGATAATTACTCGTTTTAGCGCACGTGCACAAATCAATACATCACAGGACACAATGAAAAATGAACATGCACAAACACGCATACCCGTCCACTTACATTAACCAAGGCCTTTTGCCACTTTTTGAACCGATATTTCTCTCGAGGACAGGAAAAAATAACTCGCCAAAGAAAAACACAACAAAATAAATAAGGAAAGAAGGGAGAGTGGGCTTTCATGTTCCTCTATGGCCTGTGTTCAATAGAGCTCTTGTGAGAAACGTCAATAGAGCTTTCAAATTTTCACACACACATGACACACTCACACCTTTATATGAGTTTTTAAAAGCACTAAGAGCTCCATACTAGTCACCATAACAGAAGTGTCACCCCCACAACTAGATTGCCACACCCAGTGAAACTGCTGAAAGCCCCGGACAAAATGACATTACTGACTGGCAGAACTCCGCAGAGACTGCTGCTGAAAAGCCTTGTCTAAAAGGGAAGGAAACAGGGAAAATAATACAGACGTATGCTTACACATATCAACTTTTTATTCAAATGTACTATATATATATATATATATATATATACAAGTATACCCTATATTGTGATACTATAGGGTATGTTGCCGCAATGAGGACTTGTTTTTTTAACACAGGTTTGAAAAGATTACTTTTCAACAAAAAAGTGGTGTCTTCCACAAAATATGTATATTTAAAATGGCGTTTCAGCTAAATTTAAATAGAAAAATAAATACAAAATTTATGAAACTACAAATTACAAATGGAAATGGAAAGGGTGAAACAAAACAACCATTGTTTTCAACATCAGAAATTGAAAATAATTAACCTATAAAATTACATTATTCTGACATTATTCTGAAAAATACCTTTTTCCTGAGAACACATTTCTGAGAAAATCTACCTGTATTATATAATATTATATTATAGTCAGAAAGAATGCTTGTGTGGGTTCACTTCTGTATGTAAAAATATGATGATATTGACATTTCAGTTTGGAAGACCAAATTAAAATCAAACAAAAAAAAATCTATAATCTGAAAGAGCTGTTTGAAACTAACGAACAAGCATTTATTAAAGTTAATGGGCTACAGCCCTAACAACATCAAATCAACATTTATTAATTGTTGTACTCGCTTATACATTATGTAGTCCATTTACTAGTGCGCAAGTTACATAAACTACTTTAAAGATACTTTTAAAAGTTGAAAGTTCCCTTTTCATTGTAATAGCATGTAAAGAAAGCGACAAAAGAGCACTTTTGCTGTCTTTGAAATTCTCTATGTTCCAGCCAGGGAAAAAAAAGTCTTACGGGTTGGGAACAACATGAGGGTAAGTAAATGCTAATAGAATATTCATTTTTTGAGTGAACTATCCCTTTAACAAGTACTTACAGTCTGTTCTTACAGTACTTATATGGTGAAGTTATCATTTCCATTATATAACCATAAAACATGGTGGAAATTCCAGGTGGAAGGATACTATTGGGATTACACACTTTAGCGCTGCAGTGAGCAGACTCTTTCAGCACTGCTTTAACTCAACCTCAATAATTAAAATTACATCTAAGAATAAAAATGATGCTGTAGCAACTCAAATAATGATAAAGGTGACGATGAAGTGGAGAAAAAAAAACATTTGTTGTGACTATTCGTTCATGGAAGTGTTATTTCTCCACACCAAATCCTGACGCAATGGGAGACCTCCGTGGCCAAAGCCTACAGAAATCTAAAAACAGAGGAGCTCAGTGTTTTAATGCATGAGCCACCGTGTAATGTCAATAAAGTCCAGTCATGGGTGACAGTCCACATTTAAATATATAGAGCTCTTTTGTCGACATTTCAGCTTTTTTTTTGATTACTAGACACATTTGCTAATGCATGTACGCACATACTCAAGGTGAAAGAGGAGGAACCATTAGAAACTAAACAGCTATACTCTGACTTCAATATGGCAGAGCTTTTAGGACAGGAAATGTGAATCAGACAAGCAAACAAGGGGTAAGACAAGAGAGATGGAGAGAAGGATAAGCCGGTGAGGTATTTAATGGGCACTGGATGTTGTTCATATGGAGCTCAAGGTGAAATAAAGTCAAGGAGACAGAGAGAGGACAGACTGGGAAAGAGAGAAACCACATGAAAACGTCAAGAATAAGCGTTTTAATCTATCTCCTGTAAGGAAAAAAAAAAATCCCTTTGAACTCAAGAGTTTTTAATTCCAGCCTCTCCATCCAGTGGGGAAAAAAAAGAGGGAAGGGAAAATGAAAAAAAGAGAAGTCTCGCACTCGGTCCAAAATAAATCCACAGTGGAAATATCTCAGCATGAGATGTTTTCACACTTTCAGCTTTAACTTTAAAATATAAGATATTCCAGGCCTTCAACTAATACTTCCAGGCTAGATTTAAGAACGGTAAGTGTAATGGTAAAGATTCAATTTAGCTAATTTGACACATTTAAATGGATAGTTTAGCCAAAACTGATTTACTCATTTACTTACGCCATTCCAGACCTGTATGACGTAGGTCTACTGTACTTTCTTCTCAAGAAAACTAGAGAAAAAAAAACGAAACAATTATTTTTAGCTAAACTATCCCTTTAAAGGAGTACAGCAGTTCACTTTAAACTGATAATTTACTCACCCCTATGTCATCCAAGATATCCATGTCTTTCTTTCTTCAGTCGAAAAGAAATTAACTCGATTCCAGGCGATAAATAAGGGTCTTATCAAGCAAAACGATCGCTCATTTAAAAAAAAAAAGTCTCAAATGGTGGCCTTGCTCTGTTCTGTGATGCACGTTCTTGACTCTCCTGTTCGAACTCGTTCATCAAAACGAACAAATCTTTTCCGAGTCAATTCATTCATTTCGTTCGTTGAATGAACCAAATGACATGAAAAAAGATTCGTTCATTTTGATAAATGAGTTCGAACAGGAGAGTCACAAACATGCATCACAGAACAGAGCAAGGCGACCATTTGAGCTTATAAAACTTTTTTTTTTTTTAAATGAGCGATCGTTTCACTTGATAAGACTCTTATTCGTCATCTGGAATCGTTTAAAGCCCTTTGTGGTTTGCACTGAAACTGTCTTTTGGACCTTGAACTGTTTGGTTCCCATTGAAGTCCATTGTATGGAGAAAATCCTGGAATGTTTTCATCAAAAGCCTTAATTTCTTTTCGACTGAAGAAAAAATGACATGGACATCTTGGATGATACGGTGGTGAGTAAATTATCAGCAAAAGTTTTTTTAAAAGTGAACAGATCCCCTAAAAGGATCACTTTTAAAACATCTACTATGTCCATCTATAATTAGATGTTTGTGATTTCTAAGTTGATTGCAGTTTTGCCAGAGCAGACATTTAATTTGAAGTGAAAAAAGCAGTAAGTGCGTTTGGAAAAACTTTTGGAAAGCATAATTTCTTTCACGATTTTGATTTGTCTCGCTAGTGGAGCAGAAATCACTTAGAAATACATCAACTGTAGCTTTGGCAGGGAAGGAGTTAAACCATACACAACGAGTGCACTAAATACTTAACAGCAGTGCAGAAATTATTATAAGGTTGTGACAATAGGGGAAAATAGAGGAATAGAGTGCACCATTGGAAAGAAAGACAGGCAGACTAACAAATTGAGTTTCCAAGCCAGGAAACTGTACTTAAGATGAAATTTGACTTTAAAATTGCTCCCAAGGTCACAATAAACATACCTGTACACACAAAAAGAATGCAAAATGTGGAATATAAAGGTAGAGAGCAGAAAAGCATATTGTTGAAAATTTTTCCAGTCATGTAAATCATAGAAAACACATCAAATGCAACATACTGTACAATATTGGTGAAATATGCAACTTTATATAGCTTGCATAGTGCTCATATTAAAGATTCTTACAGTAGTAATTATGCAATGAAGTTAGTGTGCTGTGTGTTAATGTGGGAGTAAATATCAGGTGGTGAATTCCAGCTTAACAACAGCCAGCGTTTAACAGGGATGTTGTTCGGTTGTTACTGCTAATGAGGGTTCCTGTCCTTGTGCATGGTTATTTTTGTGCTTATAGTTATGAAAGTATTTCAAAGGGGTGATGACACGCATGAAGGCGTATTGTTGAATGTTGTAGATGTCCTGGAGGCAAGGTGGGCTGCATTCAATGTATTTTTGTCTTCTTAAGGGGATGCACCATATCTGTGCCGTTTTTAATTGTTGGTCTATATTTTAATTGCTGTCAAGCAGAAGACATTTTTACCTTGTGCATTTTGTGTTGCCCCATGCAGAATCATGTTTTTAAAGCTGCAGTCCGAAGTTTTTCCTCTTTGTCGCCATCTCTGTTCAAAATCTGCAATTGCAGTTATTCACGGAATTATCAACTTTACGTAGGTTGTGCCTCGGCATGGCACAGCTCGGATGAATCCAATGTTTGAGGAGAGTGTGTGGCTGTCAGTCACCGCACCGGTGTGGATACTGTCATTCAGAATTACAGATTCTATTAGAATGATTTCTGAAGGATCATGTGACAAGACTGGAGTAATGATGCTGACCTCAAAATTTTGAACGGTATTGTAAATTGTTTAAGATGTTGCGGATGTGCAGTTTCCTGTTACCTGTTGCATTAACCTTTTCACGCGTACGATCACACCGGTGTGATCAGTCTTGGCTGGTCCCTGGAGCGTACGATCACACCGGTGTGAATAGAACGGTAAGTGCATCATGTGATCAACTGCTAAATTCAAACTCGCTCTTGCGCATTGGCTGGCGCTGAGCAAGAGACGGACGCACTCGGTGCTGTCATATATCACAACTAT